CTACTTTATAACTTGGTAATATGTTGTATCAAGGTGATATTCTGTAAAACTGTGGTGTCTTAAAACCCATGTGGGACGGGGCCAGATGTTTGACATGGAACAGACACTGGAGTGCTGAAGCAGGATATTTTACATTTGAACAATATCAAATAAGACCTAACCACACAGTAGCAAATCTATAAATTTAAGTTAGATCAAAAAAATAACCCTTTTACCTGTGCACATACAAATGAACATAACAGAAAACACCTGACTTACACTATAGGCATTCGATATAATGTGCCCTTTATTGCTTTTATAAAGAATACCACATCATGTGACTCTATCATGTTTTCCAGATGTCCTCGTAGGACGGCAGAGGACGGACCAGCTGGAAGCTGACTGCAGAGCCGCCGTAAAACCAAATCCTGAATCATCAGTTGAAACAGGTGAGTCGGGAACACCTGTCCCTCCTTCTCTTAAGTCCTGTTCGCCCAGGGGTTTGTTCAGAAGTGTAAAGATTGTTTAACTGTGAAGGAGCTTTTCCAGACAAATCAATTCTCAAACCCTCATGTTCACACAGTAAGTAATTTTATGCCAATAATCCATTATGTTTTTATATTTAGTGTTTTACAGTGTAAAAACATCAACATTGAACTAATCCAAACATTTATGGAAGCGAGTTTCTACTTGGAAATTAATATGAATAATTAGGAATGATTAAAATAATTGTGGTATCACCTAATTATGACCCAGTACAGCTCAGAGTAAGTCAGAACTCTGATTCATCCCAGAAAATATCTGTTGTTGTTAAATCATAATATTGAGAGACTATACATTTTAACTTACTTTGTTACAAGTGACAAGATGAAATACTGATCATCTATTCATGTATTTTTGTAAAGTAATTCATTCTTAATTTCTTAAAGAATAAAAACTCCCCCCAGAATGTTTTATCATTCATAAAGTCATATATCTAATAGAAAGTCCCCACTGTGACCAAGACAGAAGATAAATTAGGGAAGAAATTAAATATTCAGAAAATAATAAACAGCATTAAATAAATGAATGTAGTATTCATTATGTATTTACAAATGGATAACAGCTGCTCTAATCTGAAAGATGTCATCAGCCCTCTCTTAAATCGCTAAGATAAGAGAGACGCTGTTAATGTGTTCTGGTACTGAAGAACTGGACAGAGTCCACGAGAACGTTTTCCGTCGTCTTCTGTAAACACAAACAGTTAAACAGATATAAACACATATCAACGACACGTGAAGGGTTCTTCTTCTCTGGATCACTTTATGTTCTCAGCTGTAAACAGGAGTTTCAGGTTTAAACGTCCCCATATGAACATAAATTATATATTTACATTTACTCATTTGGCAGACGCTTTTATCCAAAGCGACTTACATTTGAGGAACAACATACAAGCATCAACAGAGCATCAACTACAGATCCACAACTGACAGTACATACTAGTAAGAGCAGCAATAAATACTAGTAAGAGCTCATAGTACATATCACATCAATGGGGTAAATACCAAGGGAAGGAAGTAAGAGTTAACAAAAAGTGCAATCAAAACAAAAAGTGCAATCAATACAAGATAATTGTAGGGGATAGAAGAAGAAGAGCACAGGAAGTGCATATTAGAGGTTAGGAGTTAGAGGTGTTCTCAGAAGAGATGAGTTTTCAAGAGCTTCATGAATTTAGAGAGGGACGCCCCTGCTCTGAGGGCGTGTGGTAGCTCGTTCCACCATGGTGGTGTCACAGATGAGAATAGCCGGGACTGGGATTGCTTTGTGTGAAGGGACGGCAGAGCCAGGCGGCGTTCGTTGGAGGAGCGTAGCGGCTGAGAAGGAACGTAAGTTTGTATTATGGAGTTTAGGTAGATGGTGCAGACCCAGTAGTCACTCTGTATGCAGCATATGTGACTTGAATTTGATTCTGGAGGCCACGGGGAGCCAGTGGAGGTCACTGAGTAATGGAGTGACATGAGTCCTTTTGGGCTGATCAAAAACCAGACGTGCTGCTGCTGTCTGGACCATTTGTAAGGGTTTCACCGCGCAAGCTGGAAGAATTGCCGGGAGGGCATTGCAATAGTCGAGGCGAGAGATAACCATGGCCTGTACCAGGAGCTGGGTGGCGTACTGAGTGAGGTAGGGCCTGATTTTCCTTATGTTGTATAGAGCAAAGCGGCACGACCGAGAGACAGCAGCAACATGGTCTGAAAAGGACAGCTGGTCATCAATCATGACACCCAAGTTTCTCACCACCTTGGATGGAGTGATGGTTGAGGAGTCAGTTTGTAGTTTGATGTTATGGTGGATAGGTTGCTTGGCTGGAATGACCAAGAGTTCAGTCTTAGAGAGGTTTAGTTGAAGGTGGCGAGCCTTCATCCATGCAAATATGTCCGAGAGATAGTCCGTGATCCGCGTCGAGACTGTGGCGGGAAGGATAGGTAGAGTTGCGTATCGTCTGCGTAGCAGTGGTGAGAGAAGCCGTGTGAGCGAATGATCGGCCCCAGTGAGGTGGTGTAAATATATAATTCAGCAGAATTACTAATAGTATAATCAGTGTTATAATCCTGTGTTGAAGTGCCTCTCGCCCACCGTTAGCTGGACAGTTACAAGAAAAGACTTAATTTATCCCGAGGGAAATCCAAAATATAAATGCAATAATACAAAATATAAACAAGTTATGTGGCATGTGTATGTGTATAGGGTTGATTTGAAATGTTCTTGAGAATGTCTGTCTTCATGTCCTCGGTACTTTTCTCAAACAAAAGTCTGCAGTGGTGAACGTAGTAACAGATTCTTGGACCAGTTTCTCTGCAGCTCTTCTAAGAAAGGTCATAGGTCAGAAACGACACGCTGCAAGAAAGAGAAAGACAAAGCAGAAGTTTACACACCCTGAAAACCCAGAAGTTGTTCTTATTAATGGCATCAGGTTTTATTATTTAATACATTGATTAGTTACAACTCACAACCATTTATCAAGGGTGACTTATCAGAGGAACCAGTTACGACCTTTTACCAGAGCTGAAACGGTGGTCCAATAACAGTGGTAGATGAAGAACATCCTTAACTTAAGTAAAAGTCCCGCATAAAAAATGTTGTAAGTGTAATCAGGAAAATGTGTTTTAAAGTATTTTACTGGATCATAGTGAACTGGATATCTCAGTTTGGTGTATGGTGCTAAAGTCCTTCACGACCCTGGGTGCAATCCACAGCACCGCCTTGGATATCTATCAGAAACCTTAATCATCACATAAAATCATTCTAATGAGATCAATGTTGATTATGACAAATTGCAGGACGTGTTTAGAGGGACAACGTTATTACAACCATTCCTCTTTGGGCTTTTGTATGCATGTTTTTAAGTTATGGTCGCGGTGTCACATGCTGGCTGACAGCAGCTGACTCTGCTGCTGCCACAAAGAATAATTAGCCACGTCCTTCCAGTTGTGTGTCATCGATCAGCTGTATTGATGATTCCATCCCTGCCGGCCGTGCGGTTGCGCTTCACTGTAGATATGAAATGTTTTGTATAAGGAAGAGATTTTTAAGATCTTTTCAGCTCAAACAAGACCTGGGTGGAGAAATTAGGGGGAAAAAGTCATGTGGCATATTTAAAGGTTGGTGAGTCTATATTTTTGTGCAGCAGTGCAGCAGTGAGGCTCACTGATGTGTTTTAATAGTTTCTGGACAACAGTGGTGCTCTATGAATCAGAGGAAGAAGAGACATCAGTCAGAGAAACACACACGACTTGTTAGGAGATAAATCTCCTGTTGGTTTTGGTGTTTTTAAAAAAAATTCGTCACCAGACTGGCTATTTAACAAAAAGGTCTGAATTTAGTTTGTTAGTTTTTATTTTATTAATATAAAAACAGGTTTTGCAGCAAAGCGCTTCACAAAGACAAACAAATGTACACTATATGGACAAAAGTATTGGGACATGGGTTTCCCAATACTTTTGGGAGGGGCTATTTATGTCTTGTGTGGTCTTTAAGGAAAATCTTAATGCTACAATTTTAGACAACAGCTCTTCTAACAGTTTATGTTTGGCCTTTTACTGTTTCAATACGACAATATGCACAAAGCCAGCTCCATAAAGAAACTGACATTAGTGCAGGAATGATATTTTAGATCGGAGGGTGAAAGGAAATGGCTAATTTTGGAGATGGTTCTGAGTTGGAAGAAGCTGGACTTGGAAACAGAATTTACCTGCCAGCTGAAACTCATAACAGTCAAATCTAACAGCCAGGTTCTTGGCATGTGGTGTGATGTAGGTGGAAAGGTAAATTGAGTATCTGCACAGGAACAGTGGTTTGATTTAAGATGCAGTTCCTCTAAGGGCCACTACATGCTGCGCATGCTCCAGCGACAAACTGTTTTCACACACACACTGCAGCTTTGTTATTATACAATTTAAGATATAAATGCCAATCTACCTCACAAACTAGTCTAAAGTTTTTTTTTTTTTTCAAACACTAGCTGCTTGCAGGACACAAGTTCTCCATAAAGTATTCAAAGCAAAAGTAGGGAAAAATTAAATTGCTCCATTATATAGATGGTAGTCTATTAATGTAAAATCAAAAGTAAAATGACTTGTTTAGCAGTAAAAAGGCTCCTTTTTTATATTTATTTTTGAAATTATTACTGATTCCTTAATGTTTGAGAAGACATTTTCTGTAGTTGGCTGAGGTGGAACTTATTTAAACTACTTTATAAAACCATTTAAGTTTATTTTGTTTTAATTGCATCATGTTTTATATGCACATCATATGCTTTATATGTGAATTCTGAATCTGCAAAGTAAGTAGGAGCTCTAGCTTTCAAATGATGTTGCTCAAAACTGAAAACTTCGAAGTACCTCAAAAGTTTAGCGCTTACTAGTACTCAGTAAATGCACTTACTGTAGTTGCATTCCACCAATGCAGGAACTCAACATTTATACCTAATAATAAATACATGTACAGTAACACATGCGTGTGAAATAAATTGCACAGGCACAAAATAAAGGGAGATTCTGTTTTATTTTCAAAAATTGTACTTCAAAACCACTAAGGTCATTTATAAGGCATTCACAATTCTTTATTTATGTTGTTTGGTTTTAGGACATTTGAGACAGTTTTTGACGCTTTCAGAGAGGGTTTCCTAAAACAGGAGTACAGCTAAGGCACAGCACTACTCCCACAGAGAGAGAGAGAGAAAGAGAGAGAGAACGATAAAGAAAAGCAAGAAAATAACAAAACAAGTCAATTATACTGAACTGGCACTCGAAAAAACAAAAAGGTTGGATGTTAAAGAAACTAACAGCAATAGAGCGTGGAAAATAAAACACACGAAAAGCACAAACCTCTCCGATTATCCTCCACGATTTGCAGACTTTATCAACCTCTGAATGTTTCCGCACCATCAAAATAAAGATAGTCACGTGACTTCTGTGGCACCATCACAGCACTGCGTCCAAAGAGCCGGACCTTTTCTATTCATTAACTTAAAAACTGTACATCATCTGTGAGTATTTTACAAAATACTGATTTACATCGACTTACTGCTCATATGAAAAATACATATCAAACATAAATTGGTTTAATTTTTAGGATAAGTGTAATTCTGACTGGAATAAATGGTACCTAAAAACACCTTTACAGAATTTAAATAGTTTAACAGTTTGATTTCAGCATTAGAATGAAAGCACCAGAAACAATGAGACAGACTCCCCTTATTTGGGGTAAAATCAGACAGTTGCCGGGGATTAAATACCGTTTACTGTGGACAGCAGGAGGAAGACAAGTTGTTTTTTATATCACAAGATTTGAAGTATAGATTTAGACTTGAACACTATTGCTGTTGTTCTTAGAAGTCTTTAACAAAAAAAGTATTCGGATAGTTGTTTCTTTTGCATTATAACTAGTGCTGGGCAATGATTACAATTTTTAATCGCATTGTTATGTGCAAAATTGAATAATGAATTCTAAAGTAGTGTATTTTGCAATTTTAATTTAAATGTACTGCTATATACACAAGTGCAATAACGTGTTGTTTGCAAACATGCCCGCTGCCGAAGTTGAATTGTCTTGAACTTTTTGTGCGCCTCGTGCAGCACAGATCATTGCAAGAGAGACTGATCCTCACTGTTTGTTTGAGTCAACATCAACAGGAGGGAATTCGCACGGCAGAGCATCCCCGCAAAACTAGATGAAGGCCTGTCAGGTAAAGTTATGTAGCCTATAATTTTAACTCGAATTAAATAGGCTACAGCTGTGTAGCGCACAGAATCTGTTGCCATGGTTACTGTCAATAGAGCGCCTGCCGTTTACTGGCGGAGCGCTCGTCTCCCTGTCTGATCACCGGAGCAAAGAGCGACCCCGCGGGGCCAAGCGACTACGTTGTGATTTTAAGAACGTTCCTAAGACCGACATCTTCACCAACACTAATCAGCATGCAGTGCGTAGCTCTCTGCTTCACTGTGGCGTTTGATCGCTTGTCTTGCTTTTGTTTATCTACTTCTACCACAAGCTGCATCCAGCGTAGTCTGCTGAAGCCTCCCTCCACCGCTTGTTTGGGTGGGTGATATGCAGGCTGATCAACATCCTGCCCCTCCTGTGACCCAGAGTTTGACTCTGTGTTTTCAGAGCCAGAGAGCAACGGACTTTCAAAATAATAATAATAATAACTGCGTTAAGGTCAGATAAGGCGTTAATTAATTAATGCGTTAACGCGATATTAACGTTAACTTGCCCAGCCCTAATGATAAGTTTTGACCTGTTTGACAATCGTTTCTCATGATCACTTTGATGCTGATCAAGCGGTTAAAACACACCCTGGCTCTACCTGTTTCATTCTGTTTAATCCTTAATCTAGCGGCAGTAAATTACTGCTGTTAATCACATCCTGTGGTTAGCAGAGAGGCTCTTTCAGGGTTAAACCCACCGACACTGTTCTGATCCACAACTCAAACATCTGGAAACATCTGCACCATGCATCCATCATTTCAAAGAACACATTACTGATAATAGTCACAATCATTTCTAGAATAAATACGCCCTACTGTTCACGTCCTTACTTTAAGTCACACCATCAGTTCATTCAGAGCTTCACCCTCGTGGTTAGAAATCCCCACTGGTCTCCAGTTTTGGTCCCAATAATATTGTTATGACATCTACACACACTGGAATACTTTATTTAAAATGATTAAATATTAGTTTTTATAGTAACTAATGATAAAATGGATTGCACCACCAAGGATTAAGATTAGTTAATTTGATATTATCTTGCACAAAATTGCACATTTGAGAACATCTGTGTGGAGTTAGGCTAGCCTGAAGTTACTTTTGAGAAGTACACTTATTCACTTTCTTGCTGAGGTTTAATTTTTACCGCACAGACTTGAACATAGTATAAAATCTAGCTCTTGGGAAGAAACTGAATTTATACATCTCTCAAAATGTTAAACTGCTGCTTTTGAAAGGGAGCTGCCATGTTAAATCCAGCTATAACCTAAATTTGAGTTAGATCTTCTTACCGGTTGCACTGATTTTTAGACGTGAAGGTACCACGTGGACGTGTCTCTGTGAATTAACAGTGTTTATGTTCACACTGAAAACTCACTGTGTGGATTCCAACACATGTTGAATCAATGTCCTACCTCCATAAAAACATTAGCAAAGCCTTTTAAAAATGTTAAGAAACCTATTTACGTCGGCCTCTTCTCTATTTGCATGATTGAGAACAGATTGTTCTCACACAGGGTAACTTTGATCCTTACTGGTGCAACCCAGACTTAGTATGACTATATTTTGTGAGCCTTCAGTGAGCAGCGTGGTACTAAAGGTGCATGTAAACGTCTTGGGTGGCCGCTTCCTCTCCCCTTCTAATGTGCTACATCCAAACTCACCTCACAGGAAAGTCAAATTAAATATTTTACGCACATGTACGTAACATGTTAAATGGGATTAAAACAAAAACATAAATCTGAAATGAATGCAGACACATTAAATCACTGTTGCAGGGATGTCAGTTTTTTAACAATTTGAAATGTCTAACCAATTTCTTTCCTGTTTAAAGCTTCTTTCTATTTTTGGTTTCACATAATTATAAATGAAATACTGTTTATGTCACAGTGCCCAGACACATACAGTACAATACACATGCATTTCTAATGCCTGACATCTAGGGCTGTCGCGATAACATGCTAAATTGAAATACCGCGCTATTGGTCAAGCCTACCGTGGAGGATGGCAAGCACCGCAACAAGCGCAATGTTCATACTGTACCCTTGAGGGTGTGTTAAATTAATAAATGAGTGCTTCAAAAGTTCCACAACTGTAACAATCCATTGCCGCGGTGGAAATTACTTAACCGTGACAGACCTACTCACATCTAATGGGCATTTGTTATTATATACCAGTTAAAACAAAATATTCTAACAGGTACCGACAGCCCCACAAATGTGCAGTCAAAATTAATGTGAAAAACACAACTTAAATGTCCTTCTTAGTTTAAAATATGTAGCTGTACTTCAGCTTTGTGGTTTTAATAAACTCGTAGGTGTGAAATAGTAATAGTGAAATGAGCAGAAAAGTCAGAAGGCAGCGAGGAGAAGAGGCCATTTAACACCCAAAACTGACAAATCATTTAACCATCAGTCCTCACAAACACTTGAAGGCCTTTAGAAACAAAAGCAGAGGAGTTTGTCCTCAAAAATAACAAAACAAATCTCACCTGCTATCAAATAAGAAATTTTTTTTATATAAACCTCTGAATAAATTACTCACGCAGCAGTTGTACGCTTTGACACAGTCACATCAGTTTGTGCAGCAGAGAGCAGATCAAACGTTTGTACAGTAAAAAGGAAAATAAAGAGGTGAGTCTCTTCGGACGTCTCTCACTTCAAGTCTCAGGCGGTCCGAAAGATTCAGACATGGCACAGAACAAAGACACCAGAGCCGGTCGGTGTCAAGGGAGAAGAATAAGTTCTTAATAGATAGTTTGTGGGTGGAAAGTAACTGACCTGTACTTTGCTTCACTACATCTGGCAGTTATAGTTACTTATTTTACTTTCTAAAATATGAGTATAGATTAAACAACAGTTCATAAAGAAGTAAAAACTACACATTACCATGATGTTTCTATCAATAATAACCCAATATTAAAATATTTACAGGATCATGGCACACCGCAAAGGGCCGTTCTATAAAATGAGTACTTTTGCTTACTAATACTTTAATACGTTAACTTAAAACTTAAAGTGACAGTGCGGGACTTTTACATTTACTCACCGAACGAGTTCACACACCGCTGATTAAGCCTCTCACCGCCAGGTAAATCTCACAGTACACCAGAGTTTTTAAGTCCGGTGTACTGTGGTGACATTCCCGCCGCTCTGGTACACCGGTAGTGATGCGTTTTATGTCAACCAGCAATGATTGGTTAATCCTACAGGTCAGGATTAAGTCATCTTCATTGCTAAAAGAAACCAACACTGACTGTGGAGACGAAATGTGAGCGGTGGTCTCTGCAAGTTTAAACATCAGAGATTGAAAAATGCGTTCAGACTGAATGCGAAGAACTTTTTTTTTTTTTTTTTTTTTTTTTACACGATACAAATCAAATAAATATTTTGGGTACAAATTGGTAATTTGAGGGAATAATACCCCCCCGACACCTACCTGGCTCTGTATGAGAATTTCTAATGACTTTTTTGGGGCTCATTATGTCTCCAAGTCACCGCTAAAGAATTGTGTTATCTCAAGAAAACAAACTGTGCTCCTACGTATTGTTTCAAGCCTGTTATCCCAAGATTTAATTAAGAAATCAAACATTGTATTGTGATAATGAGGACCCACAAACATTTTCACTCTTTTTGATGATTTGTTTCAGTCAACATTTACAGCTACAAAACAAAAGTTGTCATTATTTGAGGTCGCCTAAATGCCTCTTTATCTCATGCCGAAACAGAGCTGTAATTTCAGCTGCAAGCAATTCTATAGGGAAGATTATATATTCTAAGAGTTAGAACAACCTCAATCTCATTTTGTTTATGGAAAAACTTTTCGCAGGTAAGTCCTTTGGCAGCAACACTCGGAACTTTGAATTCAGTTGTAATCTCGGGATAACAGTCTGAAATAAAACATATGATCACTAAAAAAAATCACAACACTGCAAAAACTCAAATCTAGGTAAGAGTAATTATCTTAACTGAAGGCAAAACATACTTGTTTTTTGTCTGACAAGATATTTCTTCTTACCAGGTGGCTTTTATGTTAGAGAATTTCACTTAAATATGTGAAATATTCTTGTTCTGTTGGCAGATAATTTTTCTTATTTTAAGTAATATTTCCCCCATTTTAATGTTTTTCCTCTTGTTTTAAAATTAAGCCCTAACTAAGCCTCAATCAAAAGTTTTCACAATATTGGGACTAAGAATGAGCAACCACGTCAGTTTTCAATATTGGAAACACACCTGCATTCCTTTAACCCAGGGAAAGACTCACAACAAGAGGTACAGAGTTCTTCTGACACACTGCTTCAACGCACACTTATTCACATTCGCTCTCTTTCTCACACAAACACACACACACACAGCTTTGTAGTACGAACAGTGAGAGCAGCAGACTGGACTGAGGACTGAAGGAGAATATTTTCTTCAGTGTTTTGAGTCTGTTTCTCTTCTTCCCCCTCGCCGTTTGATCCGTCCATTTCCTTTCACTCTGACGTTGCACAATTTAAAATAAATAAATACCAGACACAAGCAGGGCGTCAGCCCCGTGTCGTCCTTCATTTGTTCCTCGTCCACTCGCCCGCCCCCCCCCAGTCTGTCCGTCTGCTACCTGAGCCGCCCGTCTTCTCCGGGCGGGTTCAGTTCAGACTTGGGGTCGGGGCTGGCGGAGCTCCAGACGGTGAGACGGCAGCGCTGCATGACTGGACAGGCGCTGGGTCCCATCGAGCAGACGTCTGCGGCCGACCAGTGGCCCTCCAGCAGCCGGTCCACCCAGCGACGCAGCGGTGCCCCAGTCAGGCCAGCGTTGGCCTCGGCCTCCTCCACGGCGCCCAGGCTCACCGGTAGCTTCAGCACTGGGTTCAGGCCGTGGAAACTCTGCTCCATGTAGGAGTTTCTGGGCGGGCCGCGGTGCAAGCGCAGGGGATCCTCTGGATCCCAGGACCCGGGGTTAGGAGAGGGCGGGAGGAGAAGATGGCGGGGAAAGAGACAAAAGAGAATTTTTAAGATCACATTTAAAAGCCCGAGAAGGTGGACTTGGAAAGCCATTTTTTCCTTCTCCAAACCAGACAAACTTTTTAGCCCTTTACCCATAAGCAGTACTGCCTTTTGGATAACCTTGGTCTCTTTATAAACCCCCCCCACAGATTTCATGTTAAGCATCCAATTTTTCCATTTGTGACCTTGGCACTCCGTACGTGCCACAAGACTTCTCAAACCTTATGGGGGGGAATACAAACCTTTGCATCGTCAAAGGTAAGTGTTTACTGTCTGAGAACATCTTTGCCTGGGGGTGAGACCAAAGTTTTAATCGTGCCTTTCCACAGCCAGTGCCGAGCATACAGCGAAGAAGAGGACAGCGAGGTCGTGTTTGTAGCTCAGTCTGTGAGGCTACTGGATTAAAATGTTAAAGATGTTCTTATCCTGGGCAGACAGAGATCACAAAACACCTTTCAAGATGCAAACCTCTGCTGGATAACAGGTAAAAAAAAAATTACTTTTTATTTCTCTCCCGAGGTTTGCACTGAAAAGTCTGTGACTGAGTTGTGAAGTAATTTACAGAGTGCCAAGGTCACAAATTGGGATACTGATTCTTCCAAGAAATAAATCCCTGCCAATCTTTAAAAAAAACACCAGAAGGTCACTTTACAAAACTTATTGCTCCTCTGAAGGTGTTTCCAGAATCCTCAAATACTCTATTTGTCCATTTGGATGAAACAAATATTCCATCTGCTGCTAAATGAAAACAGTTTTTAACACACAGCCTGATCAGATTACATCACATCACACCTTCACTTTATGACACCAGCCAATAAAACCTCAGTCTATTCATGCAGCAGGCTTTACTTAGAGCTCTGCAGTTATCCCTGCACGCACGCACGCACCTGTGGAGGTCAAACAAATCCAACACTAACCCAGGAAAAGCTCATTCGGATAGAGGTGACCCTGTGTGTGTGACTGAACACTGACACTATAAATATATGTATGCATGGTGTTGACAGCTGTGACAGGAGGGCCCCTGCTCTGTGTAATTTAAGTATTAGATCTGCTAATGACATATGAACTACAGTGACCCCCCGTCCCTCAATATCACGTCGACAGGTGTTTTTACGAGAGTTTCTAAAGGTTGATTCTCAATCCTTGTGCCAGATTAGTAATATTTAACTGTCTCTTTGCACAAAAAAAGACAATCGTTTACATGCAACTCTAGAAAATGTTTGTCAAAAAGTTCTCCGGATGTGAGTCCTTTTTTAATACTGAGTATCTGCAGATCCTGAGTCCGATCTGATACTTACTCTATTTACTTAAATGTTGATTAAATATGTATCTGACACTAAATTCAGTCCGCCTCATTTTTCACAAAGCTGTTTGATCCAAATACTGAAGGTCATGATTCAAAACTCTGAAGTTTAAATGCTGAATTATTTATCTATGGATGACGCAATCAGCCAGAGAGGAGAGAAGATGCGTCACTTCGCTGGAACTGCAGATACTTCTTTTGCCTCCATAAACAAACCCAGAAACCAGCCTGCAGAGAGCACGCAAACCCGACCACAGCCAAGTTTTATTTTGGCCTCCCATCAGCTTACTTACAGAAATAATATTAGTGACAGCTGATATGAGCCGCCTGCCACGGAAGCTGCTACCTGAATGTTTTGTACAGTAATAAGCGAGGAGAGATAACAGATTGGTTGCTGTCGGAGTTCAGCGTATCCCTGTATTTTACCAACTGTGGAGCCTGGCTGTCTTTAAGGCGAGCAGACGTGCAACACTTGCAGGCTGAGAGGAAACTTTTTCAGCAGATACAGATCCATTAAAACAATTTTTTTTCCATATCAGCCATCGCTAATTCTACATGAAACGTTAAATGCTTAAATCCAGTTCTGTGTGTATTTTCCTGCCTGACCCTCTCGCTTAGGGTCGCTCACCTTGCTGTAAGGGCTGTTGTCGATGGAACTCCAGCGGAGCCACGATGAAGCTGGTCTGGCCCAGCGGGTTCCAGTGGTGCAGCACCCTCAGCGTCCACATGCCAGGCCTCAGCGGCAGGGTGAGCGGCGGCCGGTAGTGGGTGACCTCAGCAGAGGCGTCCACCAGGATGTCGTAAGTGGCGGCGATGACGTTGGTGGGGTCGATCCACACCACAGTGGCCGTCAAGTTGCTCTGGCTTCGGCTCCAGCGCTGCACGGCCACGGGCTCGTCCTCGGGGCCCACGAGACCCCCCCAGTTCCTGAAGAGACGCTCCTTAGGATCCCAGTCTGTCCCAACCTGAAGAACAGGAAGAGGGTGAGGATCGCTCCGGTTCGGATAGACCCTGCAGTGGTCTCAGACTGCAGGGGTGCACAGTTTATCTGTTTGTTTAGGGACATCTGGAAATGGAACATTTAGAACATTTGCCATTTAGTTGATTTTAGAATTATTTTAAGGTTTTACTTAAGTTTTACTTGCCAATACGTACATGCACACCATCAGATCCTGCAACAAAACTCTGCTAACAGTCGCCTTTAGATATAAAACTAAAGACCCCTGGAACAGCCTCAGTCTGTGTGTGTTGTCTGACCTGGACATGCTGCAGCCTGTTGGTGGGGTTGGGGTGGCTGGCCAGTGTGAAGTGGTCTCTGGAAGTCACCCAGGTCTCAAGGCTCTCCAGCTGCGTGGAGGCTCTATTAGTGGCCACATGATTCACCAGGTAGCCCTGGAACTGGTCTGACAGGAAGTAGAGGTGGACTGACACTGGGTGGCTCATGGCCACGTACCTGAGAGACACAAATACATACTGTACTTAGACCACGTCTGCAACAGGATACATTTGAAAATGTTGTCCTTTCATTCACCCAAAGCTGGCAGACTGTTTCTGTCATCACATATTCTGTGTCTCAACATTTCGAATCTCAAAGAACAGGGGACTGTACCTCGACGTAAGGTCAACATAGAACTGCTCTCTTTTGGTTACCTGGCAATGATAATCCTGATAACTGATATCAGGAATCTGGTTAACTGTCTCTGTTAACTCTGTCTCTTTCACACAAACCCACTTGTAGCTGGATCGGAAAACCCAGATTTGTCAATTACAAGCAACATTGCAGGAATATACCTGCAGGAAAATTTGGATAAAGTGACTGAAACTTTCTGATACCAGTTATCAGGATCAGAGAGACTGAGAGGTCATTCCAGCCAAGCTATCTATCCACCACTGCAGTGCACTGTGGCCTCAAAGCAAGAAGGTCCCGGGTTTGGGGTCCGCCCAGCCTTTCTGTATGGAGTTTGGATAAGAGTTTGTTCTCCGTATCTGCAACCTGCCGTGGTTTCCATGTTAGGTTCTCCAGGCAGTGCTGTTTGACCAGAATCCAGAGTTGGTCCCCAGGTGCTGTACAGTTGCTTTAAAACATCGAACTACAGATTGACTCCTCAACCATCACTCCAACCAGGGTGGTGATTGACGACCAGCTGTCATTTTCAGACCATGTTGCTGCCATCTCTCGGTCCCATCTACCTAAACTCCATATTACAAGCCTAAATTCCTTCTGGGCCACTGCGCTCCTCCAACGAACGCCGCCTGGCTCTGCCATCCCTTTGTACATCTCTTACTGTATTGACGCTTGTATGCTGTTCCTCAAATGTAAGTCGTTTTGGATAAAAGTGTCTGCCAAATGAGTAAAAAGTGATCTCTACAGGGCGACATGTAGACAATATAAAGTAGAATACAATAAGTAGCTTTAGAAAGGCACATTAACTGTAAGACTAAGGTTAAAAGTAAGTGTGTGAATTCTATGTCTTTATTATAGCATGGTAGTTACTGTCTGATGGATTATTTTATTTATTAAAAAGGCAACAGAGGGTATACTTTTATTTTCAAATAATCATCACAAAGTCGTCTCATGTTATTCTGAGCTGCAGTGTGAAACATTGACAGTGTCAGGAATCCCTTCGGGATTGAAAGAATCTTTGTGCAATGAAAACGCTGCTTAACTTGTCATTATATATTTAGTTTGGTAAAGTATCCCTCCATTTTAAAACCCGATTAAACACAAGGAAAGTCTGGAACAGAAAAGCAATTTGACTGATCTATAAAAATATCCATTGCTCATTGTCACTTGTCACTTTATTGTAAATTCGTTTGTCCATGTCAAGAAGTGGTAGGAATATTGAATCAGTTTCTTCAGTGATCTGATTGGTCAGTGGTTGGGCTGTTGGCAGGTTCTATGCACAGCAAGGTCCGTCAGCCAGACTGAAACATCTCAACATCTATTAAATGGCTTGCCGTGAAATTTGGCATTGACATTCATGTTCACGGTGAATTGTCATGACCTTGGGAATCCTCTGACATTGCCACAGGTTACTGTACTGAGTGCTAATGCCGCGTTCCAGACCGGTCAGAACTTGGAAATTTCCTAGTTAAAATACCCGACGTCCGACCTCAAAGCATTTTAGGTGCATGGTGGTGCTCAACGCCAAATGGCTGAAGCATAGCGGACTGTGACACACTTTTGTTTCTTTGGCAAGTTGATGTACAGTTAAACCCTCAGCAGTAGGCCATTTTATTAAAAAAAGTGATAACTATACGTTACTCGTTAACGCCTTCCAGAGGCGTTTTATAAAGGAGACTCGCCACTCAATCACATCCTCAATATAACTCTATGGGGAAAGCCCGTAACGGCAAAGAAGGCAGTTATCTCGCCGCTCCCGCTAGAAAGCCAATTGTCTGCTTTTAACAGCCAAAGCAGGAATTTCAGCCGATCGTGTGGTTCCACTGATGTAAGGGTCTGTTATACTTCGCGTAGTATAACCGGTCAGGGAAAAACGCTATTTTCAAACTTTTTCAGCGATTTTTATCAGATTTTATTGCTGATTCAAGTCATGTAGTTTTTATGTCCCGGTGACCAGTGAAAATACAGCTCTGGCTCTCTCCCCATTCATTTAGATAGAAGCATGGTCTTGTTATTCCAAAATAGCTGCCCGGAGGCGTAGCCAAGATGGCGGCTGAGTGGCATGACTTGCCTATAAGGACTTTGGTAATCCTCAAAAGTTGTATGCTATGTTTCCCAATGTTTGCACATTTCCGGGCATTTTTAACATTTTCCTGAATAACTTTTGGGTAGAGAAGATGACTTTCAGAGATTGTTTTCTGTAACCAGCTACCTAATAACATTGACAAACCCTATGTCTGATAAACATTAACATGTTAGCATTATCTATGTGAGAATTTGTGTGAAATTGTTCTGCTTACCTAACAAAGCCTTAAATGTCCAGGCACCGTTTTACCTCAAAGAGCTCATTATACCTTACTGCCCCCATCAGAGCACTGCGCTCTCAAAATGCAGGGTTTTGAGTCGGCGCCAGAGCCTTCAGTTATGAAGCGCCTCTGTTGTGGAACCAGGTCCCAATCTGGGTTTGGGAATCAGACAACATGACCATTCTTAAGACTAGACTTAAGACTTTTCTGTTTGATAAAGCTTTTAGTTAGGGCACGATTGAGCAAAGTTAAAGTTTATTTTGTTTTTTATTCAGATTGTATTTTATCATGCTCCTTTTTTGTTATTTTATTTCAGTGTATTGGGACCATGTTTTTTGGTGATTTTGTACTTTACTGATTGACCTGCACCATGTGATCAGCTGTACAGACCCAGTTTGTTTCAGTGTTCACTCCATACAAATACATTGCTTACTACTTGGTGGCAGTAATGTTTTGAGGAAGAAGCTATTTCACTCTTTTGTTGTTTGTCGACATGTAGATGGTGTTTTCAAATGCATCCACATTAGTGTGGACGTGGTCAGAGAGGTTACTTAACTGAAATCCCAGGTTGAAGGGAACACACTAGTCCTGTTTCAACTCCCCACTCATCCCCCCCCCTCTACACACACTCTTGCCATAATGCTGTCCCCACCCATTCTAGCCACCAATCCCCACCCAAACTCCAACAAGTGCCTCCTTGTACCTACTGTGGGTCTCCACCCCCACCACCACCACCACCACCACCACCACCCACACACACACACACGCAGCTGGAAAAATCCAGTCTGTGCAGACACTGTAGCCTGACTGTTCCCCAGCACAAGCTAGCGTTATCTTTATATTTAATTTGGACGCAGCAGTGTTGGTGAGTTTAGCGGAAACATTTGTGTTTGGACACATTTTATCTACCAGTCCTCCGCACTCCCCTCAGACAGTGAGTGTGCAGTTTCTCTCCCTGCACTAGACCCAAATTTACTGACCCAACATCTAAATGACTTGTGCAAAGCACCCTAAACACCCTCGGCGGGTGAGGACCGATACCTGCACATGAGGCCGATCTGGCCTTTAACAAAGTCAGAAACATTTTTAACTTTTATTCGCACACCTGTAGTTTCTTTCATTTGGTTTAAACCAAGGAAAAATATCAATTGTTGCCCTTTATTTGTGGCCCATATTCAACTGACTAATTACAAACAAACCAAGAGTTTTTAACATAACTGTGACTCATTGATTGGACAGTTTCACTGACTGTCATCATCAGAACTACATGCACCCTTGTGGGAAACTTAATTTCTGCTAATTGGCAGCAAGAGATGCTGCACTTTGCTAAACCTTAGGTGTTAATTCATCTCTGATTTGACAAATATGATCATTAATAAATCGATATCTTGAATAGTGGCAAAAAAGAAGTGTCTTGTACCATAAATAAGGAGGGAGGTGCAGTGTGGCCGCTACGTTTCACACATTTTAAATGGAGGAGTGGCTAAAATACAGAGTAGGGTCCAAACTAAGTTTTAACAGTTTGCTGACACAAACACATGCTGCCATAGTTACCAAATGATTAGTGACTTTTACATACCATTTCACAATCAGCAGATGGATTTAAAAGTTGTTTATCTGCTGAATCTGTGCTTAGATCACATGTCTCATATCACCACATCTTGAGGTTTGTCTGCTTTACTTTCACACAGCAAACAAACTGGACCAGAAATCCCTTGGAACCGGACCAAGGACCCTCTTTGCAGGCAGTTTTTGTGTAGCTGTTTTGGTTGAGTTTAAATGACAGCTTTTAAACCAACCCGAAAAATCCAAACCAAACAGGAAAACACACCAGTGATTGTTTAAAAATGAACCAAACAGGTTCAGCATGAAAGCATAATGTCTCAGTTCTGTCTCAGGGAGCTGCATGGGAAGAGTCTACTTGAATTAGAATTAAATATATAATGCAATTGTCAGAAGTGTCCGCCGTTTGCAGTGCACCCTTACTGGAATCATTACAGGGAGATTGTTCATTAATTTTAGCACCTGTGGGCCACCTATACAAACTCCTGGAACAACCCCGTGAACCCCAAAACCCATCAAGTTTTCCTTCATAATGTAAAGAACCCCTTTGACTATCCTCCCTTGCAGCTTCATACCTGCAGCTGTTGTCATTGGGATGGCCCTGCAGCGAGCTGGCGGCGCGGGACAGTCCCATACGAGCGAAGGCGTGGTAGTGGCTGAGCGCAGAGTCTGATATGCTGGCGGGGCCGTCCGTCTCCTGCTCATAGATGTTTTCCCAGTAGGCCTGGAGGCTCGGCGTGCCCGGGGGGTACGATCCGAACAGGTAGGAGTCCAGCTGGTCGATGATCTCCTGACTGACACTGGCCTCAAACTTCCTGGCAAAGAAGGTGGGTCTGGACACTTGCTGTGGTCAGAGAAGACAGAAGGCAAAACAAGGACAGATCATAAAATTAGATATATTTTATTAAATATAAACTTTAATATAAAATACTCAAATATTCAAAAAACTATATAGGGAGCAGTAAAACAGTGAAGACAAGTTATTATGTTGTGTGTAGATGTGTGTGCAAGGGAGGGCCAAGTGGCCGTGGTAGTGATGGGTATTGTTAGGATTTCTGCAGCCTCTCCACAGCTCTGGGGAAATAAACTGTTTGTGGGTGGTGCTGGGGTTCTAACCTGATCTGTACCACAGAAAACATTAAATAAAGCAGCCTCGGAGCCTGATCTATTCAAAAAGTGGTGGGTTTGTTCAGGACACCCTGTCTGGTGCCAGCATTGACCAGTTAGCAGCCTGCAGGGATTTCACATCACCTTTAGGTATCAGCTCGCTTGGAACCTTGATGGATACAAAACACCTACCAGGTACCAGATTTGCCCAACGGAAAACCAAAAAAGGTGAGTCGAGTTGAGGTGGTACCATCCGGTGGTCAAGGGATTTAACTGTTGTGGTAGCTGAGGATCTTCAGATTTGTTTCTTTCTACATGTTTTTACATTTACTCATTTAGCTGACGCTTTTTTCCAAAGCAACTTACAATCAGTGCAGTGTTCAGTGCGACCTGTGGTCACTGTCTGAGCCCAAAGCAACTCTGCATGTCACTGCAGCGTGGGACCTTCTCACATGTTCATCATACACAGAAACTATTTATACTCAGAGGAGAAACAAAAAAGTTAGATTTGAGTTTTTAATCTTCTCGCACTAAATCCTAAAGCTTATGATACCATGGTAACCACAGCCCTGGAAACACCCTGTAAAGTATGTCTAGTCTATGGCCCACACGGTTTGACACCATGCCAGGATATCTAAGTAGAAGTGAAGGGCTCTCCTTGAATTTCCACAAACACACATCCAACGTCCTGGAGAACCACGTCACAAAGTTATCATACAGTAAAGTCTGTTCAATTTATGTCTAATTTTAAGTACGTTTTAAGTAATTAAATAAGAACATATCCTTTATTTTGAAGGCTGAAGACAAAAAGTGGAGAACTGCATCTCACTTTCACTTTGACGAACTGGCTTGGCTTTGGTGCTTCTGCTACCTGATTAATAATTTGTCCAGTCCAATATCACGTCAGCAGATTTTTGCAGATATACTGGTATTGGCACTGAGTAACAAGAACTGTCAGTACAGGAACATCTGTATGTTTGAGTTCATTTAGAAATAGCGGTAACGGTATTAATTTATATGCGACTATTGAACTCTCAAATATTTTATCGGCCTCAAGGATCCAGTATCGGTCAGGCTCTACAACTGGGATGTAAGTAAATGGGGCACAGTCTGGAGGAAGGAAAGGCGTGGTTTACGGCGTCACCGGGGAGGGTGTGACCTCACCAAACCAGCTCTTGGTGGGATAGCGGCAGAACCAGCGAGCCGGGAAACCCCAACATAACAAGAACCACAAGGACTGCCCAGGCTGCAGCTCTTTATTCAGCAGGACAGTTTTATCTGTGAGGTTATTCTGGGACTGTTACCTAACAGTCTGTGTCCTTACACGCCTAAAGATAACAGTGGAAACCACTAGTTACAGGGTCAGGAGGGATTTTTCTTTTTTTCATCATGAGATCAGAGGGAAATTATATATAAGTGCCTTTACTGTATGTTCTCTATTCTCCCTAAATGTCAGCCAAATATGATTTTAGCAGCTGCTCTCGTGTTGGAGCCGTTTCAGCTGTATGAAGTCAAGAATGAACAGATTCTGACTTTGTGAACACGCTTTCTCTTTTACTTTGCACTAGAGCTACCACTAAAAATCTAGTTTCATTATTGATTCATCTTTTCATCTTCATCACAATTCTGCATAAAGCTCACCACAACATCCCAGATCCCAAGGTGCTGTCTTCATACAGTTGTATAAATATATAAACCGTCTGATCAACAGTCCCAAAGCTCACAGCGATGAGACAGGAAAACGGCCAAATGTTTGAGAATAAGAGTTTGATGTTTGGGGTTTTTTAAAGGTTCATTACTAATATTAAAGCTGTAGCTAACAATTATTTTCATTATTCATTAATCTGCTGATTGCTTTCTCAGTTAAATCATTTAATTGTTTAGTCAATTAAATGTCAGAAAACAGTGAAGAATGCTAATCACTAGTTCCAAAGGCCCAAGTTGACATATTTTAAAACCGCCTCAAACCCCCAAGATTAGCAACTTTTCTTTTAAAAATATGTACATTTTTTAAGCTTGAACCAGTGAATCTTTTGCATTTTTCCTTTAAGAGATTACTTTAAATGATCAATCGATTATCACAATTGTTGGTGCTTAACTATTACATTTCCGAACAATAATAGCGCTGCACATGATGACCATTTCATTACCAACGATAAGCTTTTAATTAATCAGATGAGAAAGACGAGCAACTGCCCAACGTGGCTTCTTCTCGACAGTCCATGAACCCAAACATGTTCAGTTTACAGTGATTTAAAAGAGAGAAACCTTTGAGAAGCTGGAACCAGATTATTAAAATTGTTACTGAACAAAAATCTTTGTTCCTTAAAATAAGGTCTCCAGTTTGTAAGAGATTCCTGATGTCAAAGAGTCTCAACCAGTTAAATATTGGAAATAAAGTGTGTATTGTGCTGTGTATACTGTACATGCGTGTTCCTGCGCCTCACATTCAAGCCGTCTTTCTAGCTGGCAAACCATATGATAATGACAACCTTAGAAACCTCAGCGGCAGCTAGCTACAAAGCTCTAAAAATACCAACTGCCTCGACTGTACAGCTGTTTCCAGGATCAACTCTTCTTATAGAAACCATCAGTAGCTCGACCACAGACGCTGTCTTCAGGTCTGTCGTTACAGGGAGCCGAGGGCCGCCTGCTGTAAGGAAAAGCAGCACTGCTAATTTGTGAATACGAAGCTATTTTGGTCGCCGGCCACCGAGGCTCAGAGAAGGAAGGGTGGACAGGAGAGCGTGATTGAAGGCCGACGGTTTCTAACGTGATGATCTTTGTAGCTGAGCTCTAGCAGTCATTCCAGGGCTGCAACATTATCAAATTTGATATTTAAAAACAAATGTTTAAAAAAAAAAAGATCACCTGTGGAAAGTTTGTGACTACTGAGAAGTTACATGAGATCGGTCAAAGTTTTAATATCACCAGTTGTGGCAGAAAAGTCGATCAGCTGGAAGGTCTTTAAAGTCTCACCTGGAAGCGCGGCAGATCCAAGGGTTTGAAGTTGTTGGGTGAACAGCCACACCAGTCCACAATGTGCTTGTACTGGCATTTACATCCCAGTTTGCGGTTCCAGTTGGTCAGCCTCAGGTTGTTGTCCACCATGGTCTCACAGTGGGCGCTGTTCTCCAGCACGGTGTGGAAAAATGACTGCAGGTGGAGACGAGTACAAAAAGACAGGCATGTCTTTTAATCCCTATAAACTACCTAATCTACTTAAAAAAACATGTTTTAAACAAATATTACATCTCAAATCTAAGAATAGTTTCCTCGATTGAGTGGATCTTGAGGTGTTGTCTCATTTTGTATTGATCTTAGTTGTTGATCTTAGTTAAGTTTTAGACAGCTACTGTGCTGTTTTAATTATCCACTTAGGTTGTTTCTAGGATCAAATCTATTATATGATTGTATTAGAGATTTAATTCAGGATTTCATAATATAATTTCTGTCTAACTTGTCACTCATTATCTAAGAGTCACAGCATTTTGGACAGATCAGACAGCTGTGAAGCTGTAAATAGCTATAAATGCATCCAAGAAGCACTCTAGAGGAATTGAAATCTAATTGCTAAGACACATTCTATCCAAATGTTAAAAAGGTGTGAAATTACCAGTCGGTCTTCCTGCACTGCTAGCTGTTATTGCTAACAGTTGATTGTTACTAAACTCCAAAAGTGCACAAGTTATTCATCTTTTAGCATTTATGTAATTCATGAAACCGCTTCAGATGCATTATCACCGACCTCTGCACTGAAATAGATCTGACCTAAAAATGTACATGTAGCCCGGGAAGAACCGTAAAACTTTGATTAATAGCCCGGGCTTTTATTTCTTAAAATCACTGAATAGAGAAAAGTGGAGTGTAGCAGAAGTTAGCAGACAGACAGCAATGGACTTCACATGACAGGATTACTTTTTACGAAAAGCTGTTTTGATTGTTTTGACCGGTGGACCCTTACAGACTAAAGGAATATAAATAATCAAGGACACATTCGGACTTAACGAGCGCTTCAAAGGTAACCGGAGACTTTTTTCCCTTTTTATCTTTTGTACCATGCAGGTTACACTGGTAAAGATATAAGAATTAAAGCTAAAGCGGGCGACCCCGCAGGGTTTAAGAGGTTTTATACATCCAAAGAACTTCTATAAAAACCAGACCAGGCTTTTAATCGAGACCTGCGTTAATTTGTAATAATGTGTTCCCACACCAGGCCAGTTAACGGGATAGGCGGCCGTTTCGGACTCTGCTATTAATTGTGTTACAGTAATCAGATGTGTGGCTAAGTGTAAATTAAAGCGTCTCACTCGTCAGTTCATTTGAGACATTTGAAAATAGGGACTGAAATTACTAATATTTTTGTTTTGTTTTCTATCAATAGACTAATCAATTTATACCACTGATTGTACTGCCTCTAACTCGTTTTAAGGGATGCCAAATATTTATTTTGAGGACGAATACAGAAACACATTTGCGTGCGGCTAGTAGTTGATTTATCAGTTAGTCCAGAGACAGATAACAACGCCTCTATTCACGTTCTCCTCTAGGGGACACTGTGTTTTTAAAGAAGGGTTCTGAAGGGTTACTGCATGTGTACTTTACCTCAGCAGGCAGCAGCGTGTAGGCGTAGAAGCGCTTCATGCTGCTGACCAGCTCGTCTTGGGAGTTGACCACATAGTCCACAAAGGCCCGGTTGACCAGGAACCAATCAGAGCCTCCGTCCACCGCAATGCCCTCAGGGATCTTGCGGTCCCCGAGACGCCACATGTGGGTGTCACACTCGTAGAAGAGACGGTCCAGACCCTGTTTACGGATGAAACTGAGGACATGGCATCCAGTGTTCAAATACTAAAGTATATTTACACAGTTTCAAATACTTGGAGACTGCAGACAAATGTACTGTAGAGATGGACAGGTGTATTTCTGTAAGATTATTAGTGATTATATGTTCATGTTCAGCCATTGATCACTGACTTTGTGAGTAAGCCTGTGTTTAAACTGAAAAACAGAATAAAGTTTCACCACTTGGATAAAACATCTTAAATGTCTTTTTAACTGGAACAAAAATACATCTTTAATTTGATTAAAAAGATCTACATGAAACTACCACAGTTAATGCATTAACTGTTTTATTAAACTACTTTCTCATGGGAATGTTGAACACCACATTTTCAAAAATCCGCATTGAACAGAAGAGTGAAACTGTGATAAAGAGACACAGAGTGACAGACTCTCTCTCTCTCTCTCTCTTACCGTGCGTTGTCTCTGCCGTGAGATTTGATGAAGTTCATGTTGCGGTACTTGGACAGGAAAGCCACCAGCTGTTCATTGGTCCTGACGGGAGACAGCAGTTGCCAAATCAACAACTCAGACAATCAGCTGCAGTTCACAGAAACACACCTCCAGCATCCCACTGTAAACTCTGACTAGACTTGTATGTCACTTTACTAATCTATAGAGCAAGTATCATGTTTTTAAGCCACGATAGCTGAGATCCACCACTTCCAGAGTGAAATATCTCAACAACTATTGGCTGGATCGGTTTGACATTTTTGTGCAGACATTCATGGTTTCCAGAGGATGAATCGTAATGACTCTGGTGAGCCTCCGACTTTTCCTCAAGCGCCGCAGGGAGGTTCACAAGGTTGTTTTTTTTAGGGAAATATCTCAACAGCTATCAGGAGGACTGGTATGAAAATTGGTCACAGTCATCAAGTCCAAATTTCAGTTTGTCCAATACTTTTATTTATGAGCTAATCCTAATTAAATGTAGGAAGTCCATTCGCAGCATTACATTTATGACGCTTTTATCCAAAGCGACTTACAATTGCTATACATGTCAGAGGTCGCACGCCTCTGGAGCAACTAGGGGTTAAGTGTCTTGCTCACATTGGTGGATGCGTCACTTGGGTCTCTCACACCAAAGGCATGTGTCTTATTCACTGCACCATCACCCAACCTCATTTGTTGTCCACATTTACCTTCGTAATTTAAATCGCTCAAACAGTTTGTGCTTTTAAACTCATCTGGTAGTATCTTAACGTGTCGTCATCTGTTTGGCCACGAGAGAGAAAAACATACCACCAAAACAAAAAACAGACTCACGCACATTCCCAATAAAATGTGTTTTTTAAAAAGTGTTTAAGGCAGGATGTCTCAGCAGGATGCAATTAATTATTTGAATGAACTGACTGGTTCTTTTAAACAATGCAAAACAATCTTCCATTAAGGGGAATTAAAGTGACTCCATGTAACTCTGTTTGGGACAGCTGGGCCCGTTTATTTAGCTTCCTCTTCCAGCTGAGAGAAGACGGCTAAGCTGCAGTGTGTGGCCTGAAGCGGAGGCAGCGCGCTCAAACAGCCTGGTGTTGTCCTGATGAGTAGACAGGACAGCAGACAGACGGGTCGCTTTGATTACGTTTGATTATAGTCGTTAAGGCGAACCACAGGCGTGCATGTGTGTGTGTTTGTGGGCATGTTTGCATTCATCAATAACTCAGACACACTTAAATCTAACTAAAGGCTTGTCTACGACTGGTCATATATCACAAAGATGCTCATCATCTAGGATTTTTTTAATGCAAATTATGATCTTGATCAAGTAGTCATAGCTGCATTTAGACTTTGCAATGTACTAAAACAATGGTTTGATATTTTGAGAAATACACTTCTTTGCTTTCTTGCAGCAGTGTTTCCCACAGGATTTTAATGTGGGCCTTGTACCCTCCCATCAAGGAAGATTTTGTACATTTTAAAGTTAAATTAATTAATTTGGTGCAAAATTAGGAGTCTATCTATGAAGAACTTTGTACACTTGTAAACAATGTTGTGCTCTAATAAACTATTTAAACATTAACCCATTGTAGAGCTATAAATGGTGGTGAAACAGCAACAAAAGTCATTTATTTAATGTTTTTCTAAAAAGCCCAAATCAAAGAATAGAAGATAGAATAAGTAATTTCCCTAAAATTTTATTGTTTTTATTAAATTTTATTGGACACATGTAATATGTTTTATACTTTCTGTGAATATAATCCAATTAATCTTATTTCCATGCTGTATAGACACCTTATTTTGAAAACTGGGCGTTGTGTATATCCTCGCGCTAAATTCATTAAGTTCAACAAGTTAAGACTTCAACATGAAGAAGAAGTGGCGGGCCGCCATGGTCTTGTTAATTAGCCTTTGTCATTAACAAGCCTCATGTTCTGTCTCTTTTCTGCAACTTTATTATAGATACTACTCAAGGAGAAAGTCAGCAGAGCAGACACATACAGGGAGAGAGGGACAGAAAGAGGCGGGGCAAGCCGCTGTGTTTGCAGCCGAGGTGAAGGTGAGAGTGAGGAAAAGAGAACTGAAGGGAACGGGAGGTGATTCAAGTATCCTAGGCTTGTGAATAAACACTAAAATAAGGTGGGGAATGAAGTAGAATTAAATTGGTGAAATAAGAAATAAGTTACGTAGGTTAATAGAAATACAGACGGCTTCAATCCCCGGCTCCTCCAGGCTGCATGTCGAAGTGTCCTTGGGCAAGATACTGAACCCCGAATTGGTTGGCTGATCCATCAGTGTATGAATGTTAGTTTCTGTTTGAGCACTTAGGCTCAGTGTATGAGTGTGTGTGAATGGTGAATGCAATGTAGTGTAAAAGCGCTTTGAGTGGTCGAAAAGACTAGAAAGGCGCTATACAAATACAGAGCATTTACATTTGACTGCGAAACCCAACACCGAAAACTGACCCGAGTAACTTCCTGGAATCACATTAACTGCACCCAGCCAAAAAATAGTCTGGCACATACTGTAAAACTTCAATTAATAGCCCAGGCTTTAAATCACTGAACTCACCCTGCCTGTATTTGGGACAGGTCTTTAATTCCTTGACCATGCCTGCAAATCTGAATGAATTCTACTTTGTTGCTCATTATTTCTGTAAAATTAACTAAACGATTGTGGAGAATCTTACCGATCTAAAATATCCATCCAAATATCCATGATCTAAGCAGCTTTATAACACTTTACACCCAGAACAAACAACACACGTGTGTACATTAACAGCTGAGGATTGCGGCTTAGTTTTGATAGCGTTCAACTCAACCATGGTTTCAGTTAAATGCTAAAGTGCTGTTGCGTTAGGCCACATCAGTTGCGTTTTACGGGGGACGGAGTGTAACATTACAGAGTTGTTGTTTTCTTTTAGCTTGAAATAATCCCATTCTTTGGACACTTTCTTCTTCGTCGTCCCTCGCTATTTTCTCTCTCTTCCTCTACTTTGCGAACAGCGGCATCAAAATCACGTCGTGTTCACACAGCGTAAGTGCGACAGTAAGAAATGCCCGTGTGAAACAGTGCGCTATGTAGTTATTTGAATTGACCGAAGCATCGAATTAATAGATTTAATGAATTAATTGTTTCAGCCCTAAACCTTTATAACTTCTATAAAACCAGACCAGGCTTCTAATTGAGACGTGTTGCTACACCAGGCCAGTAAAAGGGACAGGCGTCTAATTGGGACTAGGCTTTTAAGCCCCATAAAATCGCAACATGCCCCTTTCCACACAAGATATAACGTGTTAAACATCTTCAGATGAAGTGTTGGTGTATCATGCTACACACAGACAGAGCCAGGTTAGCCGTTTCCTCCTGTAACTTCATAGTAACTGTACTTGTGTGACAGTGGTACTAATCTTCTCATTTGAATATCGGCAGGAAAGCAAATATTAGCTTTAAATTTCCTATATTCATCTGTGTCTGCAGGCTTCATCACGCGTGTGGATTGAGCCACATGTTTATCAGAGTGCAGCTCACTGCATCTGCGTTTAGGTAAAAGTATGATTTTTTCCCCCCCATCTTATATCTAAACCATAAGAGGAACAAAACTCGATACTATGGCCACTAGTTATATCAATAGGATTGGTTGATTTTCTGTCATCTGTCTGACCCTTTTGAACTGTGCTCTGATATCAGTTTAATATTTAAAAAGTTTATATGACCTTGACAGTTATGGAAAACACACACACACACACACACTCTCCATTGACTGACACTCTGTGCATTCATGATGTCACAGCTATTGATGTTGCGGTGCTAATGCTGTGGCTGCGCTATGGATTTTAGCTGGAAGGGTGTTCAAACAGTCTCTCTGACGGGAGGACAGAAGAGCATGCGTCAGTGTTTGTGTTCTTGTATTTCTATCCTTATGAGGAGCCCTCGCAAGAATAGAAAGATGAGGAACTTTTTTTCCTGCAGGCATTTTGTCAGTCTTCAAAGAGGAAGTTTAATGTTAGCACTTTTAAAGATAAACATGAGTCATTAGCAAAAGAGGCCAGTTTAGGATCATCACAGTTTCAAGCTGCCAGAAGAAGATAAACGCTCTGAACAAACCCCAGTTTAAAACCAGTTACTATAACTAAGCTACTTAATTAGAAGAAACCCCTAAGCAGACCCAAAATATCCAGTGCAAACCTGCCTATTGTGTACATTAAGTATGAAAGCCATGAAGTAGCTCTGCAGAATCAAATGGACGTTCACAACTGAGAGTTTCACCTTGTTTTCACTTCCAAATAATTTGGTTTAGATAATTGGGTTAAACTAGGAATTTGTTTAAATCCTGACCTCAGCTTTAAAGCTGCTCAAGGGTGTAACCACATTCCCAGAGTTTAAATGATTAGCTGAGTAACTGAATTACAGAAAATTCATTGGCCCTATTTTGATAATTAGTTGTTTGTTTAGGTAATTTTTTTAAGCAAGATCGCAAAACATTCTCTGGTTTTAGCTTCTCTAGCGTGAAAACAAATAACTGTAAATTGAATATCTTTGTACAAAACAAGACAGAGTAAGAAGACTTTAGGTATTTGTCAATATTTTCCGTAATTATATAGACATAATGATTATTAGATTAGAAAATAATCTGCAGATTAAATTAATTATTAAAAAAATCATTAGTTGCAGTTCTTTCTTTACTTATATTTATTTATTTTTTGAGTGTCTTGTGACTTTTTTCCCCTCACTATCCCTTGCTGCTGTAACATTGTTAATTTTCCTGTTGTGGGATTTTGAATTGTATTTATTTACTAATGGTTCTAACAAAAACTGAATTTCCAAAGTCAGCTCACATGTAGTCCTCCATCCAACACTGCTGGCTATCTGGTAAAAAAACACAAACATCTGGACCTCATCCTGCTTAAGGAATCTCTTAACACCTCTCAACAAACCTCTTTATTGAACCTCTCCAGCTTCACAGCTGCAGCTACAGCACAATGTGTGAATCATCAGTCAATATCACCACGGATCACAGCCAAGCTCCTTCCTCAACAATACAGATCCCCTCAAATCCCCAAGCAGCAAAACAGCCATTAAAGGGCTCTGCTTCAAAGCCATAGACTCCCAGTCCGTTAGGAGTCGATGCACTTGAGGTCTATTGGCCACGTAACCTGATCCATAAGACCTTAAACAAACCAAACAAGGCTCGGAGCGCTGCGAGGCCACTGGTTAGTGGACATAAGCTGCCACAGTGCTTTAACAGATCAATGAGCTGTGTGTTCGGTAGGAACTTGACTTGATGGGCAAATCTCCTACAGCCTTCTACATGGATACAAAACGGGGAACAATTGAGGTATTTTCAACCAAACCTTTATGGATCAAGAGGCTGTTTCAGTGAGAACGTTACTGTCTTTTGGCTTTTAGTCTTTTTGTTTAAGCAAAAATAGAAAACCTGATAAGGGCCATGGTTGTGAAGTCCTCAGAGTTTCAAACTGTTATCCTAAAAAAGTAAATGTAATCCAATTAGGTGCCCCCAGTCTCTCACCTGATGGGGTAGTCTGCAGCGCTGAGGTTGATGAAGAAGTCCCAGGACCAGTCGGACATTTTGAGAAGGTCTTCCATGCTGCGCAGGTACATGGTGAGCAGGCTGGCCCCGCCCCAGATGGTGGACATCCGCCAGGGAGTGACCCGGACGTTGGGATACTGGTCGGCCAGAGACAGGACATCTGTGTGGAGGTAGTTTGACCTCTGAGGAGGGTGGACAACAAGAATGAAGGTTACAGCATGCTTTTATTTTCTAAGCACTTTTAAAAGCAAGGCATTAAGAAATATCTCGATATCAACTCTGAATCACATGATTCTCCCCGTCAAGTGAAAATACTGCTAGTACTACCAGTCCCACTGAGAGCTAACAGCCCAATCGGCAGCTCTGGATTAGCCTGGTCCCAAATATGCAAATCATCCTCCACATCTTCAGATTTTTCAACTTGTCATGTCTTTTTTCAGTGTAAGCGGGAGCACTTAGCCGAAGTGGTTGAGAACAAACTTAAACCAGTTTGTTTGCATGTTTTGCAGTTACTAACACAGTCAGTAATCTCACCTGGTCCACGTGGATGTAGTAGTAGTGCGACGTGTGGTAGATGGCTTTGAAGAGACGCCTGAATTGACGCGAGGCTCGGCCGTGGACGACCAGGACGAAGGCGATCCGTACAGGCACGAGCTGGGCAGCATCTGAAGGGTTCTCGTCCCATTGTACGTTCACATTAGCCTTACCTGGACAGAGAAGACAAAGACGTCAGCTTACAAAACAAACAGCATTTTATTTTTTACATGGCTGTTAACGTGATTTCACTTTAATGAGGCCTTCAAGTCCTGTTGGGAATGCGGTTTATGTCAGCGCTCAGTTGGTGAGGAAATATTTGTTTCTGAGCTTTCCTGAATGCTAACATGGATATATTTGCCTTCTAGGCCTGAAATGACTAATTGATTAGTGGATAAACAGAAAATTAATTGGCAACCGTTTAAAAATCGCATCATTTTCAACAATATTCTTCATTCATTCAAGGACCTTTCTTTGTTTTTTATGATGATAGAAAAATGTATATTTTGGTCAGTTGGTCATACAAAAATAAGCAATCTGAAGAAAGAGCATATAACAATCATGAAATGAATCGGATACTGTAAATAATCGCTAAACCTACTAAGAAGGACTAAATATTCAAAGTCCAACTGTGGTTTGTGATATATTTATTTAAACACAAGCAACTTTCAGAACACATTGCCAGTGTGTGTGATCACACATCTGAAAATAGAGACGCTGGTTTCTTGGTCTAAAGAGCGGGTTGTGAGACAGCGTCACTGTCAACCCTCCATCTTCACTTCCGTGTTTCCTGGAAATACTCTGCGTCTGTGGCTGGCTGAGCTAAATCTGCCACTTGTATATACAAACCCTCCGACAGCCTAATGCCTCTCCATCATCACGCTCAATCTAAAGATGGTGCAGGGTGAGGCCTGCGTGGCCTAATTAGTGACCTTCCTGGGCTGCGTTGCATGTTGGGAATGGAGTTCGAGGAGAAATAACTGTAATCAGGCGGCTCAGTCGAGCACTGCTGTACAGACAGAGGGAGGCAGGGGGAGTGATGTCGTGCAGCAAAACTTTCAACTTCCCTCTTGTTCTCTCTAAACGACTGAGCACATGTCAGTCAAACTCAGACGTCAAGAAAACCAAATTATCTGTCACTGCTGCTCCAGCTTGGCTTCAGTCTGTGAATATAATGACTAGCGTCTCATCAAGGCAGCCTGTAATCATATAGATTAAACCTCAAAACGGCCCAGGGTGGTTCCGAGAGCACGACTACAAGTAAATCATTAGTCAGCCATTCCAAAAATAAGACTACAAACTGCTTGTTTAATTAGGGTGTAATTACATGATGGATGAGTATCATCTTTCTGGTGAGTAGCCTCGTTGTGTCCATTCATGCTTTAAGTCGCTGAAAATAGAGCTGGCAACAAACGGGATGCGGCGTCGTGGCACTGGCACGTGCCGGGTTAAAAATGGTGTCACAAAGGATAAATTTGGAAAATATGAAACCTCTTGTTGCAACCTGCCACTTCAATGCTGCCGTCTGTTCACCCAATTTCTTCGCTTTCAGTCTGCCATCCTTTCATTTGTTGACAGGCTCAATCACTGGGTATGTTCAAATTCGGGGATAAATCAGTCCTTAAATCACAGGTTAATACATTTAAACTATGTACAATAATACTGTGTGCTCATACTGTGGACCACACCAATAAGTAGAGCCTACTTTAACTTGGAAATATGCTGCACCAGTCCCTGTACAATTGCAGCCTTTAAAAAAATATATATATATAAAAGACATCTATTTTATCTGACATCTTTCTGTAATATTTTGAAGACTAGTCACGACCGTTAGACATTGCGTACTGAATACTGACAACAATGGGTCGTACCATCACAGCAAGCAGCAGAAGCTACATGAAATAAAAACGTGTTGTAGACTTTATTTTCCAGGAGAATGATGAGTACTGATGTTGGGCTTGAGTAATGTCTGATCTAAATGGAAATGTTTTACATGTTTTTAGGGGTCCAACAATCATTTGTATTGGATTTTTTATTATTATTATTATTATTATTATTATTATTATTATTATTATTATTTATTATAATTAATTTGTATTATAATGAATGAAAAATGTATTTATTGATGAATCATTTGGTCTTCTGTTAAAAAATAGTGGAAAATGCCTATGAAAGTTTCCTAAAGTCCAAGCTCACAGACTACTGCAGAAAATATTTAGTGGACTGTCACACAAAAATATACGAGAGAAATCCTCAATTGATTATTCGCTTCAGCTGGCTGAAAGACACGCCGTGCAGGACTGTATGCAATTGATTATGTTAGTACGGAAGCCCTAAGCGGCCATCAATTCATATTTTTATTTTATCTCGTCGTCACGGGATAACGAACCATAACTGAATACAGGGGTCGGCATGTGCATTTCTTTGTGATAATTTTCGTGTCAATTTGCTGAGTCAGCATTTAGCTCAGTTGGTAGAGCACAGGACTTGCAGGTTCGACCCCCGCTCTGCAAAGATCTTTTATTCTTATAAAATGGATGAAGCGGATGAATTTCTTCTGCCTGGGAATGATGGGGAAATGAAAAGTCCATAGCTTGATGAATGTGGACCAATCGCCCGGGATGCGCACACTCCAGCATGTGATTAATTAAGCATGTGAATCAGTCATCTTCTTAACAACTTTGTTGAAGAGGAATATGAAAAAGATTTTTTTGTTTTTTAAACTCATCTTCTGTGAGGATTGAACTCACAATCTTACAACTACATGAGTCATGTACCTTACTCACTGAGCTAATCAGTGACACTAAACCACCTTGAAATTACCATTAACAAACGTTCTTGCCAAACCCTGTGTTGTACTGTTGTTTTGTTATCGAGATCACGAGAAAATGATCTCGTTATCACGGGAAAACGGAGTAAAATAAAGATATGAATCGATGGCCGCTTAGGGCTTCCGTACGGTAGGAAGGGGGACCAAATCTTTTCCCAGTGGACAGTCCTCAAGATTTAGAAGACTCCTTACTCCCTAATCATTTTCAAACAGTCCCTAAAACAGCTGCAAGAAAACAACATACAAGTAGGAGTTTAGTTGTAAATACAAGTAAATAATATTGTTGTTGTCTGGACTAACAAAGTTAAAAATAAATAGCAAAGAATTGTTTTTTCATAACACAGGAAATGCTTCTCATACAGAGTCTGTATCTGTAACTGGAGACACATTGTACACTTTATATTTTAGCATCTAACAATAGTCCAATATCCAACAAGTTTAGAATTTTTATTAATCGTTATTTATCATTAACTTATAATTCATCTTTTGTTTGTGTCAGCTGGTCTCACCTTCTATGGGGCAGTAGCGAGGCACCTTCTCAGGCATCAGCGTGCTCTCTTTGTGTTTGCAGTAGACCTCTACGATCTGCTGCCGACACTCGCGGCTCTTGGCTCTGGACAGAGCCGAAATGGCTTCCTTCCCGCTGATCTCGCACTGCGGCTGCTCCTTCCTCGGCTCCAAACCACGTGGCACCTGGGAGGCCGACCTCTTTTCCCAGTAGATCGGTGGATTGGACCCCTGGACGGGCGGTGAGACGGTTGGCACCTGCGGGTGGGGTTGACTGATTTGGGTGCGGTTGTGATTGTAGCCCATCCCTCTTGGTTGGACGGGAGGGTGCTTTAATACCTCATTGGCGGATTTTCCCAGCATGCTCTGTGCTTGGGCCTTGTCCAGCTTGTGCTTGGGCACTCGTTGGCGTTGAGATCGAGCGCCAAGGTTGCTGTTGCTGTCGATGGTGTCAAAGTCTTTAGGGACCGAGTTCTCATTGTTGTTGCTGTCCAGCTTCTCTTTAGGCCGGTGGGAATGGTAGACGTCCTGTGAGGGAGAAGATAACATTTGCATAAAACCATGATAATGAGTTCCTTAACCTCTTCACACAGAAAAGATAACTGGTGATCACAACTGCTGATCAAACATCTGGTCTCATATGTAGACTTCAGGAAATTGAAAAGGAAAACGTTTTTTTTCCACAGAATTAATGACATTCCCAAGAGCCTTAGCTGTACTTTGCATTTAGTTCTACCAGAGACGTTAAAATGGAGACAGGGCACTTAAAGTGTAATACAAGTTAGGGCTGCAACTAACGATTACTTTCATTAACGACTAATCTGCCGATTATGGTCACGATTAATCGAAAATGTCAAGAAATTCTGAAAAATGCTCATGACAATTTTCCAGAGCACAAAGTGACGTCTTCAAATTGCTTCTTTGGTCCAACCAACAGTCCAAAATCCAAAGACTCTTCATTTACTATCATAAATTACAAAAATAGCAGCAGTTTCTCACATTTAAGAAGATGTAACCAGCTAGTTTTTCACATTTTATCTTTAAACGACTAAAACAACGAATCGATTATCAAAATAGTTGCTCTTCCGACCGAGTCATTGATTAATCGTTGCAGCTCTATTGGGAAAGCCTGTAACACCAAAGATGGTGGATCGTTGGCTTTTAAGAGCCAAGCCGGGAAACTTATTAAGTCAATCGTGTGGTTTTACTGTCAGGGTCTACTACGCTTGCATATAGTAGAAGTATAACGGTAACGGGTGGGAAAAACACTTTTTAAACCTTATTTTGGGGCAAAGTCATCTAACGTTTTAAGCGTTTTTTTCCCATCAGATTTAACTGGTGGTTTTATTCATGCAGGTTTTATGTCTTTTATGTCTCTCTCCACATTTATTTAAATATGGGTCTGATCTTGTTAGTCTGAAATAACCGTCCGGAGGCGTTGCCAAGATGGCTGCCGAGTGGCACTAAGGTGGTGATCATAGCAAACATTGAACCTACAAAACATCCACATGTTGGTTTTGCCATTGTAAGCTTGTTAGCATGCTCCACAATCAAGCTTTTCACAACAATCTCACAGAATCACTAGAAGATGATTGAGAAAATATTAAAACTGCCTGCATACAAGTGCATGCATAATATCTGTGTGTGGACTGGACTGGACTGGATGATTGTCCTTCACAGGGACAACTGAGGCTGAATGTTTGGAATGCAGCTCCACCTTCTCGAGAAGGAAAATGACAGGACAGGAGTCGAATCAGTACTTTCATATTAACCACTGAATATGTGAAAGGGGTCATTCATAGTGACAACACAGAGTTCTCACCAAGCCTGTAGTTCCAGCTGTTTTCAACAAACACACTGATAACACTCACACAGTACACTAGCGGACAGACACAGTCAGAGACTGGCTGGTAAAGAAAGTGGAACATCTAGCAGCTAAAGAGCCTGATATTTTTCCTCAGGAGTTGTTAAGAGACCAAAAACAGAGTTTAAAGAGAGTGAATACTGGACTCGTCAGGAGGACACAGCTCTAAATGAATGATAAAGTTAAAATGTAAAATGTTTGTGTCTGCTGGATGTGTAAATAGCAAACTATGTGCCAGAGACTCGGACTCGGGTCGCCCTTAAGTCGCACACACAGTGACTTTAGACTCGACTTGAGACTCGTCCTCAAACGATTTCAGACTTGACTCGGACTCGAGGTGCAGGACTTGTGAACAATGTTTATTTTTGGGAAACGTCTGATGAGCTTTATTCCCCTCCCCTCCGTTATAACCTACCTACGTAACACAACTACGTATCTGCTGCGCACGGCCACACGTGCCGAAAAGTGATTGCCGGGAGCACAAGCGGTATGTTAAAGCTGTATCGCCCCAATCTCTCGTGAAAATTATCCCGTTATCACAGGAAAACAGAGGCCGTTTAGGGCTTTTGTAATTATCCTTATGACTCTACATTATTTTATTTGCTGTTTTCCAACCAATCCAGTCCTTTTTACCTGTTAAAATACATTTAAATTGCCAATAAAACCCATAATATGCAGTATTTCACTTTTCAGAAAGTGACTGCAGCCTCTAATTATTGACTGAAAGGTCCCTGAAAAGTCCATTCCAGTCCTATATTGTAGTTCTGTGACTCCTGTATGGCAGCTTTGCATGATTCAGAGTTAAAAAAAATAATTCTCTATCTTAAACTGACTCTTCATGTAGGCCTTCATTTCAGCCTCTGTCTGAAACAAGCTGTAGATGCTCTTTAAGACCCCCCCTCTCATAGCTCTGTTTGCCACCGTATTACGTAGAACGCAGCCGTCGGTAGAAATGCTGTCGGCCTCTTGTTTCGGCTGTGCAGAGTTCTGCATGCTGGCCGAAAAATTCATGCACCTTTGCGGCTGGTAACGCTCTTCTGTGCTGAGAAAAGAGGTGGATGCAGATCTGGGCAGGTAGCCTTCATCATCTGTTCTGTGGAATTATACATTCAGCTCTTAAAAGGTCCTTTTCAGATACTTTGCTCTGCACACTGATCAAACGCGATTATCACCGCATATTTTTGCAGAATACTACTTCTACTGAGTATAATAAAATATTAACAACTCTAAACATTCATAAACATACTTCTAATCATTTATCACCATTTATGAATCCCACAAATGACAGAGCTTTTAAAAGCATCATTTGGAGGTGCATGCAATTCTCGGCAGGCAGGCAAAACTCGGCATAACACTGGATATTCCGGTAACGTGCAGAGACATGGCTGCTGGCAACTTGGCTGTTTGAAACACATTTCTGATGAACTCTCTCCAGTTTTCTAAGATTAATGAGGTCCATACGACTGGTTTTGTTTCTGGTTTGGAACCCAGACGTCTTGTTTATTACAGCCATGTGTAACGTCAACCTACTGACGTAACAACGCTCGCCGTAGCCTGGTTTATTCGCTCCAAACCAGCTGATGGAAACGCACATATTTTGCAATTTCTTTTTTCCTCCCTTTTTTGCAACATTTCAAAAGTATGCTTAAAATTCGCATGACAATTGGATGGAAACATGGCTTTAACAGCAATTTAGCTGAAATCATCATGATTGATTGTTGAGTTGAAGGACAGCCAAAGTAAGCCGCAGTCCTCAGCTGAAAATGTGCACACGTGCGTTTGTTGTTCTCCTTGTCGGGGCGTGAGTTTGGGTTGTAACGTCACAGTCATGAGTTAACTGGGTGTCGGTGAGCTGCACCTTAGAATAACTTGACCTCTAGCTCATAGCATCTCTGCCATGTGCTAGTGTAACCGGCTGCTCCCGAGTACGTACTACATGGTCCTGACTCGAAACCGGCGACCTCGGGTACGGGAGCCAGATGTGCTGACAATGAGGCTAAAACCCATGGGCACTAGCGTTGGTCGCAGTGCATCTCTTAGGGTGTCGGGGAGTGAGGTTAACTCACTGCACAGCCTCGCTGGCTTCCGTCACACTCACACAGCAAATCAGTAAATGCAGTTTAATGTTTTTATGTTAGTTTCTTATGATAAAACCAACAGTTTTTATTATATATGTTTGCATCCTCCTTTCGCTGAAGGCAAGAAATCAAGAGGATCACCATTCAATCACCTGAAAATCTAATACCACAAGAAGACCATAACCACCGTAACCCTTATTCACATCATCACCAAACCTAACAGGCTCTCGTTAATAAGATTAAACAAGACGCTTTATTCAGAACTGTGCAGATGGATAATCTACAGTATATTTACTCGTGCAGGTAAGTGATCAAATTCACTTTCTCTTTCCAGGGAAGAAAAACAAAGAGGTAAAGAGACACAAGAAGGAAAAAAGGGGGGGAAGGAAATGATTTCCTGAGCTGAAATGACCTTTGACGACTGCGACACAGGCAGCTGTGGCCTTGAACTCCCAGAGTCAAGTGGTGATCTACATGACAAGCCGCATCACCTCGATGGGCATTTTGATCCCACAGAACGCCCTCTACCTGCCTTTTCCAGGGATAAAGTGTGAGTTTCTGTGTGTGTGTCGGAGTGCCTGTGGGAAGGGAGTAATATCAGCTCTTGCCACCTGCTCCTCAGACAACCTTTCATTATCTCTTCTGTAATATCAGCGCAGAGGAATGTGTGTGTGTGTGTGTGTGTGTGTGTGTGTGTGTGTGTGTGTGTGTGTGTGTGTGTATAGAGACAGTGAATATTTCCTGCTTTGCTGCTATCATTGAAGAGTAAGAGTGCAGAGGAAACCAGTGACCAACTCCACTGACTAAAAGAACACTGAGAATATATCTATTCTTAATAGTTAAAAATGTAAAGTTTGTCCTGGGGGTGGCGCTAAGGGAAATACTTTCAGTAGGTTTCCATTATTTTGTTATTATCTTTTCTCTGTCTGAAAGATACATCCCAAAGACCAAGCTGACTGTCCAAAGCCAAATATATTCATTTTACTATCAAACATAATTAACATAACAAGCCATAATCCAGATGAGAGAACCTACCTATGAGTTTATAAAAATGTTGTAAAAGCTCATTTACACTCATCTCACTGCAATGAGATTTACCCGCAAGTGTTCGATGGACTTTTTTTTCCCCTCCACGTATTTTGCCTTTGAAGCAGCAAGAGGAGGATCAACACTCGCTACTCAGGACTCAAAATCATCACTCAAAGGTCTTTTCTAAAAGTGTTTTATTGAGACAGACAGGATGAGAAAGGGGGGGATGACGTGCAGCAAAGATTCTCGGGCCTGAATCAAACTGAGAACGTTGCAATTACATGTTGTCTGAACCACTAGGCCATCCGGACGCCCCGGGGACTCAAAATCATTTAGTCTGTACTTTGATTTACAGGTGACAATGTGTAATTATTTGTCTTCGACAAGATTCTTGACTTAAACATAAAGTATATATAGGTAATATGTAATTTAAGTAAAGATGCAAAGTGAAACTGTCTTAAGTAGGAGTTTGTGCATTGATAATACAGTAATATACATAGTAAATACTATTTTTATGTTAAAAAATGAATGTGTTTTTTAGCTGTGTTAATGTCAAC